TATTTTTTGGATCAATTTATCAAATTTCTGTGTTTGAAAGGGTAAATAAGGATTAGACCTTTCTTTTCAGGAATTCACAGTCAAGTATGGAATATGAACATGAAAAATAATTGAAGCAGATTGTGATAAATATGGTAGTACAAATGTATGAAATGCTCTATGTCTCAGAGAAGAGGACTGCTAACTATGCCTACACAGTCAAAGCAAGGCCTGTCAGAAGAGGTGGCCTTAGGTCTTCAGAGGTACCCTGGCATTCTAAAAACAGCATGAATTTTATTTTACTATTTTTTTTTATTTTATTTTATTTTATTTTTTTTTTTTTTTTTAATTTTTTTTTCAACGTTTATTTATTTTTGGGACAGAGAGAGACAGAGCATGAACGGGGGAGGGGCAGAGAGAGAGGGAGACACAGAATCAGAAGCAGGCTCCAGGCTCTGAGCCATCAGCCCAGAGCCCAACGCGGGGCTCGAACTCACGGACCGGGAGATCGTGACCTGGCTGAAGTCGGACGCTTAACCGACTGCGCCACCCAGGCGCCCCTAATTTTATTTTTTTAATTTGAGAGAGAGGGAGAGGCATGTGCGTGCAGGGGAGGAGCAGAGGAAGAGGGAGAAAGAGACTTTCAGCAGTTTCCACACCCAGTGCAGAGCCTGATGTAGAGCTCTATCTTATGACTGTGAGATCATGACTTGAGTGGAAATCAAGAGTCTGAAACTTAACTGACTGAATCACCTAGGTGCCCCATAAAAACAGCATGAATTTTAAAGTTAGACCTAAGTTTCTATCCGCTCTGACACTTTCACTTAGTGACATTAATCAAATTACTTAATTTCTGGGAGCCTTGATTTCCTCAATTCTATAAAATAGTTAATATTTGGGATTTTTTAATAATTTTTTTGTGTAATGTTTATCTTTGAGAGAAAGAGAGAGCATGAGCAGGAGAATGGCAGAGAGAGGGAGACAAAGAATCCAAAGCACAGACCCCAGGGTGAGGCTTGAACTCACGAGCTGTGAGATCATGACCTGAGCTGAAGTTGGACACTTCACTGATGGAGCCACCCAGGCACCCCAACATTTGGAATTTTTTGTGGTGTTTTAAAGATTAGAAACTAAAGCACTAGCATAAGTGTCATAATCACAAATGTTCTTACAAATGAATATTGGTTGCTTTATTGTTTTCATTAGTACTCTGTTACTTATCATTATTGATGAATGTATCAGAATTAGGCAGGTAAAAATTGGTTAAAGGGATATAGACTAAGTGAGGAAGGATGTCAAAGTGGAAGTCTAATAAACTAATAGAATAGAGAAGGCTGGGTGAGTTTTTATTTTCATTTTTATTTTTCTCCATTAAAAAAAATATATTTATTTTGAGAGAGAGAGAGAGAGAGAATGCTGGTGGGGGAGCAGCAGAGAAAGAGGAGAGCAAGAATCCCAAGCAGGCTCCTTCCACAGTCAGTGCAGAGCCCAACAGAACCCAACATAGGGCTCGATCTCACATACTGTGAGATCATGACCAGAGCTGAAAACAAGAGTTGGGACACTCAACTGACTGGGCCATCCAGGTGCCCCGATTTTTTTTTTTTAATTGAGGCATAACTTACATATAGTTAAATGCACAGCTTTTTGAATTTTAAGTTACACATAGACACATGTAACCAGTTCCCAAATCCGCAGAAGACTCCCTCATGCCCCTCAAATCAGTTCCTCCTACAACAAAGATAAACCACTGTAACAACCTTTAACACTATAGATTAGATTTGCCATTTCCTGAACTTTATATAAATGGAATCATACAATGTGTGCTTTTTTTTTTTTAAAGAGAAGACATGGCTTCTTTCACTCAATATTTATGTCTGTTTTATGTAATAATAATTGGCTCTTTTTCATTGCTGTGCAGCATTCCATCGTGTAAATATACTGCAATATATTCTATTAATAACCATTTGAGTTGGTTTCAGATATTGGCTATTATGAATAAAGCTGCTTTGAATATTTTTGTACTTTCTTTTGATATATATACAACCATTTCTTTCAGGTATATCTAGGATTAGAATTGGTTTGTGTAGAATACCCATATATTCAGATTAAGTACATACTTTCAAATAGTTTTCCAAAGTAGTTATGCCCCTTTATACTCTCATCAATGGCAAGTAGACTTCCAGAGGCTCCACATTCTCATCTGTACTTGGAAAGTGTTAGCCTTTTTAGTTTTAGCATTTTGATGGGGATATAGGTCTCTGTTATCATTGAGGCAGTAGGGAGAATAGCAGGAAGATCATTTACTGCTAAAGTCACTGATACACAAACTTGGTAAAAAGTCATGATCTGAAACCGTTCTGCTTTTTTTTTTTTTTTAAGTTTATTTATTGATTTTGAGGAGTGGGTGCACAGGAACAGGGGAGGGGCAGAGGGAGAGAAATAATCCCAAGCAGGCTCCGTGCTGTCAGTGAAGAGCCAGACACTGGGCTGGATCTCACAAACCAGGAGATTATGACCTGAGCCAAAATCAAGAGTGAGACAGTTAACCAACTGAGCAACCCAGGCGCCCCTGTTCTGCATTATTAATAATTATGGTCAATAATAACGTGTCATAGGCTTTAGGATTTTGTCTATAAATATCACTCTAAAAAATTAAAGGAGTGGGCGCCTGGGTGGCTCAGTTGGTTAAGCGGCCGACTTTGGCTCAGGTCATGGTCTCACAGTTTGTGAGTTCGAGCCCCGCGTTGGGCTCTGTGCTGATAGCTCGGAGCCTGGAGCCTGTTTAAGATTCTGTCTCCCACTCTCTCTGTTCCTCCCCGTTCGCACTCTGTCTCTCAAAAATAAATAAATATTAAAAATTAAGGAGTAATTTTAAAGTATTTTGAATCACCACACATGGTGGAAAATAAAAGCCTAAGAAGTATTTTGGCAGACCCCTTTTTGCTTCTAATAAATATGCTTTTATTTTACACGTCTTTAGGAAACCAGCTTTATACAGACTAAAGTGTCTAGAGTGACACTTTGTGCTTTGCTTATTTTGGAATTACCCTTGAAAACTTAGTGTACAGTCTGGCAATATTTCCTTTTTAAGGCTTTTGAACATTTTTGTATGTTCCTTGCACATTATGCTGATTATCTACTTGTACATTATGCTGATTATCTACTTGTATTTATCCTTAGTTGAAACTCCCAAGTATTTGACCAGACTTGGCATCTTGCTTTATCCCGCTATAATTTTAAGTAACTTGGGAGTCATCAGGGCCAGCTTTTAAAATAATGATTGGCAAGTTTGAGGTATAGAGAATCTTTTAAAGTGGTATATTCATTTACTGGGTTTGGCAGGTAATATACAACAAAGGTTTATGATTGTCCTTTTTTAACATTAGAAACTTTCTGTGAGACTTATTTGCATGTCAAAGTCTATTCAGATTTATAACTTTTACTTTTGTTTTAATTTACTATTACGCTTTTAAAATAATGTGTGAAAGTAGAATGGTTTCTACTTCAAAATGGGTGTTAATCTAATAAATGGATTGGGCTAGATTCAGCTGAAACCCAAGTCAGTAGAGAAATTGAAGTTGAAAGTCTCTTCTTGTGAGAATAAATGACGTCATTTTTTTTTATATTTATAATATATACTTTTAGAAAATTTTGTTCTTTTGTACATATATGTAGAAAATCTTTGAAGTAACTTATGTGAGTTTGTTAGTATTAAAGATTACATATTAACAAAATGTTATTATTCTGAGTAAATATATAACTTCAGTTTGCTTTATACTCAAGTCTAAAATTTTGGTTATTTAAAATTTCATGTTGCATTTATGAAAGTTCTTTTCCCCCTAGTATTGGGTTTGAGTGATCCTTCTCCTTACCATAGTTGGGAGGACAGGGGGAGATTCCTTCTTCGTATTACAGAAAATAATTCAACCAAATCTCTGGATTAGGAAATTGGAATGGATTTGTTTTTAGCTAATATAAACTAAATGCAGAATAAATGGTATCACTGGTATGTTAGAACGGATTTCTAAATGCTTCAGGCAGTGGTGCTACTGATGATTTTTTAAGTGCTGCTTTATGAACAATTATATATATATATTTATTTAATACAGGCTTTTATTGGATTTAGAACAAATAATTATAGGGAAGAGTTAATAATACTTTCCCTCAAAAGTAGAAAGAACATTATTAAAATGAGTACTCCTTTTACTTGACACAAAAATTTCAGTATTAACATTTCTCTCATTGTATTATAATAACATTAATTTGTTAATTGCCTTGACACAGTGTTACATTAATGTGTTACATGAGTGCAGGGATCTGTGCATGTTCATCCCAGTGCATTGGTGTATTTTAGATTTATCTTTTTACAATTTGTGCAGCATTAGTGCCAATGATCATCTTAAGAGTCAATATTAACTGAATGTGTACTATGTGGAAAATGCTATGCTAAGTGTTTTCTTTTTCTTTTTTTTTTTTTTTTTTTTTTTTAATGCTAAGTGTTTTCTAATGGATCCTCATGTAATTCTCACAGTAAGCACATTGTTAGATTTTTTTAAGTCTGTCCCTCAACCTAGATTTATTTCCCTAGTCTCTCAAAACCAGTTCTGGAGTTGTTTCCAATTTGGCAAGAGGTGTGAAAAGTATGTTGAGTTGTTTCTGTCAGTTAGGATTCTTCATTAGAAAACCGCTCACTAGAATAAAAGCTCCACAAGGCCTGAATTTATACAAAGTGTTCTGAGATCACAGAAAAGAGGTCTTGAGCTTGATGTTGATGGATTCAGGAAAAGACTTCATCGCCTTTGGAAGCCTTAATTTATTTTAAAGAGTTATTAAGCTACGTATGATCCCTTAGAAATCTTTTAAACTGTAATAGTTTAACGCTATGTTTGGTCTAGGCTTTTTATACCAGTGTTCATAAAATATAATGTATATTTGAAATTGGATGACTTATATGCCTCTACTTTCTAATGCCTACATGCTATGTAGTAATACTGAAATGATGACAATGTGTTTTAAAGGTTTTGACAGAGGAAAGGAAGACATTTCTCAAAATAAAGATGAATCTTCACTTTCTATGTCAAAGAGCAAGGTAAGCATATGCTGTCCCCAAATACATTATTATGGCATTTTTCTAATATTTAAGATGAGGAACTAACACTAAAATCCTATCCAATTTTTATGACATGTTTTTATGTTGGTTTATCTAAACCATGATCCACTGGGGTTGATATGGCTGCTGTTGATTACTTGGGAATACAGTCTGTTGGTAACCAGTGTGTTCTCTCCAGAGTTCTGTTGTTTCTGGTATGTCTATTATAGTAACAGACCGAAGTCTGAGGGTTCCATTCAGATAAATTCTCAGGATTTGTGTGTGGTTTTGTTTTGTTTTAATTCTTAAGTGTTTTGAGTTTATCTGAATGACTATCAAAATACATACATTTTACCAAAGGCTGAAGATCTCCTGTAGTAGCCTGCAGTTGAAAGATCTCTTCTTAGATAGAATAAGATAAAGTTTCCTAAATTAATGATTCTCAAACTGAGATACTTGTGCATATTCTTACTGTTGAGAATTTGTTCTTTAAAGGGTAAAATTCAAATTTGAGAAACATTGTGTAACACATTGGTTTTCCTTTCTTAATTCACTAGATTTGCTATAATTTGTTAAGGAATTTGACTTCTGACTATTATTTCTGGTCAGGTTTAATAGCAGAAGCAGCTTTTGTTTGTGGAATCAAACTTCAGTGACTGTAAGAAAACCTATTTCTTAAACTAGTAAATTCTCTGCTATTCTCAGCACTGGATTTTGGTTTTAAAACCCCTTATTTTTCTTCCACAGCTACTGGTCTGCGGCTGTTCTTATGTAGCAGTTGTGGCATACCTCTGTGGGAGAGAAACTGTTCCATGATTAAACACCTCTTTCTTAGCAAAATTGAAGTGGGCATATGTGTGACAAACAGAAGATGAAAAAAACCCTACATTTTTGTTTCCATTCATGGGAATGATTGGGAGGAGTCCATGATATGTATATATAATTTTACATAAATTTTATCCACACTTTTCAAGTATTCATTACATAAATATCATATGTGTAAAAGTACTCGGGATGAAAGTTTAATAGTAATTCATATATATATAAAACATATGAATGAGAAATTCCTTGATCATTTTATATGAGATGTGTTATTAAAGAAAATTAAAGAGGAAATAATTTATCTTGGGTCTTCAGTGCTAGAAATACAATGAAATTTATAGAACTGTAAAGACCTATTTTCAGGCAGTTAATGCCAGAATTGGTGAATATGTAGTAGAGCAGTATTCCTATTCAGAAGCCTAAATACTTAAATACTTACATATCACAGTCACCCATATGAAGTCTCTAAATTGGGAGGTGGGTGGCAGAGAGAGCAGGGAGCCTGAAAAGAAAGTTTACATACTTTACTGGAGCAGGGTGCATTAATGAAAAAAGCACAGGCTTTAGAAATGCACTTTGAGAACAACAGCACTGATCATATATGACTCTTTAAATTTGAATTAACTAAAATTGACTGAAATTAGAAATTTAGTTCCTCAGTTACACTAGCCACATCTCAAGTGCTCAGTAGCCACATATGGCATTTCTGTCATTCAGAAAGTTCTGTTGGACAGAACTGTTTTAGAATAAAAAGTGTGAGTTTGAATCTTACATATGTTACCTATATAGATACTAATTACAGTGATATTAATAGCTATTTTGTATTAAGAGCTTACTGTGTGTCCTCTTAACTCTCATAACGATACTTGAGGATACGGGTATTATCGGCCCCATTTTATAAGTGAACAGACTGAAACTTAGAGAAATTAAGTAACTCTCAAGAGTCAAAGTGGCTTTAGTTTTCTTGCCTGTGCAAGGCAAATAAGATCCACACCCCAGACTGTGATACCGCAAGTGCCTGGCAGAGTACCTGACTAATAGTAGGTATTTGAGAATTCATTTTCTTTCTTTGAATAAGAATTACAGTGAGGGGCACCTGGCTGGCTCAGTAGGTAGAGTGTGCAACTCTTGCTTGTGGTTGTGAGTTCAAGCCTCACTTTGGACATAGAGCTTACTTGAAAAGAAAAAAAAACAAAAAAAGAATTACAGTGAATGACTGGGGATTCTTAATGTGATAACTAGTGTAAGTAAGATTATACTCATCCTGTTATTTTCCAAGCTGGAACCTATTGATTCCATCTTTAGGTTTAATACTTGTTAATTCTGTTAGCTGAAGAGATTCATAATTGCTAGTTTGTCCTTAAATATTTTAACACATAACCTAGTCTCTTGTTTTTCACAACAATCTTAAAATTTATACATTTGTCATTAAACTACATTCACATGGAGCATAACTGACTTTGTCTCTCTCTCTCAAAAATAAACATTAAAAAAAATTTTTTTTTTAAATTTATGAGTTATGCTAACAGCTCAGAGCCTGGAGCCTGCTTTGGATTCTGGGTCTCCCTCTCTGCCCCTCCCCCACTTTCACTTTGTCTCTCTCTCTCTCTTTCAAAAATAAATAAACATTAAAAAAATTTTTAAAAATCAGTATGTGTAACTGAGCCCATCATAATTTTAACTGTATACTTTTCTGAACTTGATACAAAAAGTAATAATACTGCCATTTTGATCATAAGATTTGGGATTAAGTTATTTCTTAAAATACATGATTAAGACCAGTGAGCACAATGGAATATACCCTTTTTTTGGAATACACCCTTTTTTACCCCCACATTTTTTACACCCCCCCCATTTAAAAAAATACGGTTTCTATTTCTCATGCATTCTGTAAATGAGTGTGAATTGGAAAAGTCAGTTAGTGAAGTCATCCCATCTTCCTGTTAGCATTTTTATTTTAATGTTTATTTACTTTTGAGAGAGAGACCGAACGCGAGTGAGGGAGGGGCAGAGAGAGAGGGAGACACAGAATCTGAAACAGGCTCAAGACTCTGAGCTGTCAGCACAGAGCCCGATGTGGGGCTTGAACTCATGAACCATGAGGTCATGACCTGAGCCAAAGTTGGATGCTTAACCAACTGAGCCACCCAGGTGCCACCCTGTTAGCATTTTTAAAAGAATTTTTACTTTAAAAATTTGTTTTTAGCTTATTTATTTTGAGAGAGGGGGAGTGGGGAGGGGCAGAGAGAGAGAGGAAGGAAAAGAGAAAGAATCCCAAGCAGGCTCTGCATTGTCAGTGTGAAGCCAGAGGTGGGACTTCAACTAAAGAACCCTGAGATCATAATCTGACCTGAAGTCAGGTGCTTAACTGACAGAGCCACCCAGGCGCCCCTAAAAGAAATGTTGTCCATCTCAACAGGAGTAACCAGCAAGGGTACTGTGTCTAGTGGGATAAAAGGAATCCTGTTAACAAGGATAGTGGGTTTTTGAGCCAAGATCTATTTATTGACTTGATTTTCCCCTCAGCCGTACATCTGCCCATCTATAGATACTCTGAATCATCTATCACTTGCTATAAAAAATATATTTACTTGGACATTTAAAAGGACTTTCCAAATCAGAATATCTGATATAGTCATAGTAACTTCTTATCATCATCATCACCATCATCATCATCATCATCCCTTATATATGTAGTATTTTTTAGTTTTCAAAGCAAGTTGAAAGTATTCTCATATAATGTTCATTTAAAGGTCAAATTTTTGACAGCATTTGCAATCTAGGAGATAGTCACAAACCTGAAACACAGTACATACAACTACGCTATACACATCATATACACTACCTCATTTAATTATCAAAGGAATCCTTAATTCCTGTTGTTCGTGAATATAAATCTTAAATTTGAGTCTGGCTGAGAGTCTGTGTGAATAGTTTTAAAAGGTGAGAAATCATTAAAAAGGTGGCCAAGAGCCTGAGACTGGGAATTAGGTAGACCAGGGAACAAATCCCAGCTCATCTACTTACTGCCTCTATGACTTGGGAAGTTATTTTTAGTTGGTTACTCTTGGTTTCCTTATTAGCAAAGGGGAGATACTACTACTATCTCATAGGGTTGCTGTGAGGATGAAGTATTTAGAATAGTTTTTGGTAAAGAACAAGTAGCCATTAATTTTCATTAGCATTTATTCTTCATTTACCAGTATCTAAGAAGTACATTATAATACACATTTTCCTATTAATCTGGGGAAAATAGAAATCATCCTGTTCTTCTGACAGTACCTTTGCCATCCTTGGGTTCTCAGCGGCAAGAAGAAGACAGAGACCTGTTTGGCTTGAGGAATTTTGTAAAATTGTTTTGATATCATAATCTGTGCCATTCTCAGAGTAAATTGTATGGTGTTTCAAGTCTAGTCCTGAAAGGAGTGACTTCAACAAAAATTTAATTGGGTTAACCCCCACCTCCAGTAGTTTGTAGTTCTCTTCTGTCTAGTTCAGCCAGTTATTATTACCACCACTGTAATAACCCATATTTTATACCTAGTAGCAGAGGCATTTTCAGGAGAGGTAAAAGAAGTGAGTTGCAAATGCTAGTTTAATTTTCATTTTATTAATTCATCAGGTATTTGGTGAGCCCTTTCTTTTCCCCAGGTGTTACCTGGGTATCATTGGTGAAAAAATATGGTCCCTGCCTTCATGGTTTTTAAAATTGAGTGAGGGAGTTTATACACAAAGTTTTTTGTTTTTTTTGTTTTTTTTTGTTTTTTTTTTTATCCGTGAGCACACCTAGTGATATGCACATTGGCAATTCAGCATTTGAAAACCACCATTTGGATCAAGCCCCCCATACTTTCTTGGCACTAGGAGTCACGCTTAGAACTTTAAGTACCTGTGTCTAACAATAGATAAAACAATAGATAAAAATGAAAATCATAGAACACAAAGCACTAAACATGTTTAATTGTATTGTTCCAAGATTTACAGAAGCAGTTTTCATGTTTATGCTCTTTTATTCTGGTTAAAGATGTAGTTTCCTTAAAAGAGTGTTGGATTAAGAGACCTAGATATCCCTGTATATTTATTATTTATTGTTAGTTTAGAAGATCATGATTTGTAAAATGGAGATAAAACCATTTGTTAAATCTATTTTTCAAGGTTCTTGTGAAGATCAAATGAAAACAAATATAAACAAAGTCTGGAAACAAGTTTAAGACCATAATACTCAAGAGGCACTGGATAGGTAGGAAGAAATAGATGTTAGGAATATTGGTTTTTAAACACTACAAATGAGATAGTGTTTTAATACTAATTTCTGAAGATCTATATATTTCTTTCCATTGGAGAAGTAGCAATAGGGCAGTACGTGCGGTAACTTGCTAAAATACACGTGGTTTGGTTTTTTGATTTGGAATATTTTAAGTGTTAAAAAATTAACATTCCTTTGGATACTTTTGTTTTAAGAATAAATAATTGCGTATGTTTCCTAGAAATTGCCTAGAAAATAGAATGCAAAAATTTACAAATGATCTTATTTAATCTTATATTGTGGTTTAATTTATTGACTAGGTTATTTTTAAGTCTGTTTTTTTAGTAATCTCCACACCCAATGTGGGGCTCAGACTCAAGATCCCAAGATCAAGAGTTGCATCCTTTTCTGACTGAGCCAGCCAGGCGCCCCTGATTAGTGTTTATTTTAGTACTTTTGTGGGTTTAACATGGATTAGTTTTTAAACACAAATGCTTTATAGGGAAAATTGACATTTGAAAATTTGTATTTGGCTGTATATGCTGTATATAATTTGTGTATAATGTATATAATCTGTATAGGCTGTATCACAGTGATAAATGGGAAGAATGTCACAAACATAGCTTTAACATTAATTTTTTTTTAATTTTTTTTTAACGTTTATTTATTTTTGAGACAGAGAGAGACACAGCATGAACGGGGGAGGGGCAGAGAGAGAGGGAGACACGGAAGCCATCAGCCCAGAGCCCCACGCGGGGCTCGCACTCGCGGACCGCGAGATCGTGACCTGAGCTGAAGTCGGATGCTTAACCGACTGAGCCACCCAGGCGCCCCTAACATTAATTTTTATATGCTGTATGTATAGAATAAGTGAAGGTTTTAATTATTATTTCTTTTTTGTTCATTTCCCTGTGATTTCAGTCTGAATCTAAACTTTATAATGGCTCGGAGAAGGATAGTTCAGCTTCAAGCAAGCTCACAAAAAAAGAATCTCTCAAGGTTAGTTTCCACAGCTATTTCATAAATAACATTATGCTTTGCATGTGCTTTTGAAAGTAGGATAACAGAAAAAGATGTATCTCCTAAAGAAAGAAAAATAATGTTAGACAGGCACACATAAAAACTGTTACTATTTGTGTGGCACACTGGAGTCAACTGAAAAGGCTACTTGATGACCATCCAGTGCCGCTTCAGGCCTCACCTTGCCGTCCAGAGGCTGAGGACTGGTGTATCTGCACAATTGTACCTGAGTTAGGCATATCACTGTGTTGTAGAACACATGGGAAGCTGTGATGCTTTTTGACATTCAAGTTTACTAAAAGTCATGGGCTGAATTTGGCCCACAGATAGATATTTTGTTTCACCCACACAATGGTTTAAAGATTTGCAGTAACAGTTACAAGTTCAGATTTCCAGCCCCTGTCTAAGAAATACTCCCTTTGGACTGTTTTCCAGAATGACCACAGATCCTTGACCTTAAGAAATAACATGCTTTCCAGTCCACTCTAAGTCCCTGCATGGTCTATTTTACCCCCCTTTTTTTTCTTACATCTGATCCTATATGCATTTGTATTTGCAATCCCATATTAAATCTGTTAATTCAGATATGAATATTAATAAGGACCAAAGTCTGAAGTATTTTGGTTGTATAATTATTAAAACTTCTTTACTATTTAGTGCAACTAGGAAGGTTTTATAGCTAAGAGAAGTTCATCACTGGGAGTTTTCCACTACTCTTCTCTCGTCTGTGTAATAACAACAGAGCAATAATGAGACTGTTAATCCACTCCTGCCTTCCTAGACTATCTCACAGGTGACTTTTGAAAGTAAAACTTTAATATTTTGATTGAATAAATACCACTTTGTGGTTTCTTAATTATTTCTTATATCATAGTACAAAGAAGGAACAAAATTGCCAGTTGCAAATAATCATAGCATTGTTTGTAAAATGAAAAACTGGTAACAGAGTGGATTTCCATCAGTGAGAGAACTTACTAAGAAAAATTATAGAAGCAGTATAGCATGGTGGTTAAGACCATGTCTTTTAGAGCCAGTCTGCCTCTGAGTTGTGCCTGCATGACTTACTAGCTGTGTGATCCTGGGCAAGTTACTCTCTGTGCCTCAGTTTTCTCATCTGTAAAATAAAGATAATAATTGGCCTACTTCCGAGGTTATTTCAAAGATTAAATGAGGTAGTACATGTAAAGTGCTTATTAGTACAGTAATTGGTGCACAGAATATGCCCAGTAAATATTAGCTCTTACTGAGATAGGCATGGAAGTGCTCCAAAAAATATTGAATAGAAGAACCTTTTTAAAAAATGTGTTTAAAACGTAGAACCACAAAAGCTGTATATTTTTTAGGTTGTATACATAGAAAAAGCCTGAAAGGATAGTGTTTTCTGGAAGTGTTAACAGTGGTCAGTTCTGAGGATTGGAATAGGATAGGGTATAATAAAGACAGCTTTAGTTTTTTATTTGTGTTGTTTGAAATTCTTACCATGAGATTGGATTCATGTAGTATTGTGTGGCTAAAAGTAAAATTCTTCAAAAACATACAGAGCTAGTGATCAGAAAAACAAGATTCTAAACTCTAAAAATTCCTACCAGCTCTTTAAAAGTTCTTTTATCCTAAGAAGCTAGAATTCTAAAAGAGGTTTAGAATTGTATGCTCTACATTCTATAGACCTAAAAAAATTGGAAAGAAATTGCCCATTTCTAGTGAATTTTTAATTTTTCTATTATTTCTGCAAAATAGGTGCAAAAGAAAAATTACCGAGAAGAAAAGAAAAGAGCCACAAAGGAGTTACTCAGTACAATCACAGATCCTTCTGTTATTGTTATGGCTGATTGGTTGAAGGTCAGTTTGTGTTGAAGCTTGAATTCAAATTGCTGGATGTTTACCTACAGGAATAGGAAAGCCCAAAGAGCACCTAAAGCCTACAAGACAAAAACAACTCCTGGGATGATTGTTTTTCACTGGCAAACTATTAATTGTATCCCAGAGGTTCTATGTTCTAGTCATAATGGGAGAAGGAAACTTAATATTGTCTGTCTTGACAATAACATTGAAAATGGATAGCAGTTCTTTTTAAAGGGCTTTTTGATTTGTGTGACATTTATATAATCTAATTTTGCTGTTTAAATTATTAGTATTTATATAGGTGTGGCATGCATTATTGAGAAGATATGAAACAAAGTTAATATAAAAATTGTTATTTGGAAACGATTAATTTTCAGAAAAACATGCATATTGCTGTTTCCATACCTTCTTTTGGCCTCGGGTTATTTCCATTTACCTTTATTTACTTTTTTATCATCCCACTCTTTCTTTCTCATTCTTCTTTGGTAGGAATCTTTCAGACTAAATGCAAAGTGTAAGAATGATCTAGTGAGACTCTGTCTCCCAGGAAATTTTAGTATCTGGCATTAATCTAAAAGTCACCCCAGCCCTGAAAGCTTTCTATTCTCCCAAAACATTGGTCCAGCCTCCAACGTATAATCCTTATGAGATCTTTTGTCAAAGTTCTCTTACTAAAATGGGAGCCCAATGATAGTTTCCTTGTTAGTTCAGGTAGTGCTGGGATCTTCTTCAGTGTTGTACTAAAGACACGTTCTGACTTATATTGACTCTACTTAGAAATCTTTATGCTGTATATCTCATGTGGGTTTTTCAGAGCTAAGCTTCCTCTTCTGACATAGGATTTCTGCAGCTAACCCCCTAAAAGTGTCCCTAACACATCCCCTGGCTGACTTTCTAAATCATAACCTTCATTCTGATCATTTTCCATCCATGTTATACTGTCACATGTCCCAAATACAAAATGTTATCTCAGGGTAACTCTTCCATTTGCTTCTCTTATCTCTGCGTTTCTTTTACATAAACATGTACTTTTCTCAAAGATTTTCTCTCTTCTTCATTCCTGACTCCAAACTCCCCATTTCTAACTTTTTCTTGTTTAGAGTTATTGTGGTATGCCTATTTCAGGGGTTAGGGAGCCAGCCCTATATTTATTTCATAATTCAGGTAAGTGCTTTGAGAGAGCAGATGTTTTATAGTAAATAAAAGTGAGGATAATCCTAGTTTTTATTCTAAGTAGATTAGCATTCTTTTCAGTATTGTGAATTCAGTGATTTGCATAGAAACATTTTTAACAGATGACAGAAATAGACATTGATAGGAAAAACCAGTTATAGACCTACTATTGACATAGCCTTAAACCCTGGGATGAGGAACATTTTGAGACTAGAGAGAGATTCATGTAACTGTGTTTTAAAATTTTTCCAAGAACTTAAATGGCATATTTTATGTAATTACTAAGAACAAAGTAACTTAAAAAAGGTAATTTTAGGGGCTCGAAGGAGGTTCTTCCCTCTTCCTACCACTCAGTGAATATTTAGGGAATGCCTGGTGTGCATGCTGGCAGTGACTTCAGTACTGTCGATGTAGGGGGTAAAAGGGGAAAGAATCTTAAAAGATGGAATAATCTTATACTCCCACAAATAAAATTACAATAGACGGTAAGAAGAAGAGAATCTTGGGACTAGGAAAAGTATATTTTAATGGCCCCTGAGCTGGCGTGGAGGGTTAGGAAAAGCATTCTATTCTACTTGGCACATTACTTTGAAACTGTTGACCTAGCCTCTAGGTAGACTTTAAGTTCTTCAGAAGCAGGAGCCATGCTTTTTGTCTTTCTGTGCAGTCCTTGACATCTAGTAGCTTAAAAAAAAAATCTATTGAATCTTAAGTGTATATGTTGTAGAAATTTTAGATATTTGCCATTACTGAATTTGTATCTTGTGGAGCAAAAAAGATAAAAACAGCTTTATTTCCTAAATGAACTTATCTTTCTGTAGATTCGTGGTACTTTAAAGAGTTGGACCAAGTTGTGGTGTGTTTTGAAACCTGGGGTGCTACTGATTTATAAAACCCAGAAAAATGGTCAGTGGGTAGGAACAGTCCTTCTGAATGCCTGTGAAATCATTGAGCGTCCATCAAAAAAGGACGGCTTTTGTTTCAAACTTTTTCATCCTTTGGAGCAGTCTATTTGGGCAGTGAAGGTAAGCACTCTTATATAGGTGAAAGGTAAAGATGACAATCTGTAAGTAGAACGGAGATAAATCAATTAACCTAATGATTGCTAACCTCTGCAAGCACTTCTAAATTTGCTTGTTTTCAAGTGCATTGTTCCTCTTTTTTCTCTACCCACAATGAATTGTGTACCAAAAGGCTTTGTTTACCATTAAGATCTAACTTAAGGGATCTTAAGCCACCTGGGTGACTCAGTCAGTTAAGTGTCCGACTTCAGCTAGGGCATGATCTCGTGGTTCGTGAGTTCGAGCCACACATGGGGCTTTGTGCTGACAGCTCAGAACCTGGAGCCTGCTTCAGATTTTGGGTCTCCCTGTCTCTCTGCCCCTCCCCCGCTTGCATGTGAGCAAGCTGTCTCTCTTTCTTTCAAAAATAAATAAGCATTAAAAAAAACTATAAAAAGATCTGACTTAAAATTTTTTGAGGAAAATGTTTCCCAAATTTACTCTGTACCTTATAAACTCTTATCCATGGGGATTCAGTTTGTAGTGTGTTTTTAAAAATTTGCAATTACCAGAGCACCTGGGTGGCTCAATTGGTTAGGTGTCCAACTTCGACTCAGTTCATGATCTCACAGTTTGTGGATTCAAGCCCCACGTCAGGATCTGTGCAGATAGCTCAGAACCTAGAGCCTGCTTCAGATTCTGTGTCTTGCTTTCTCTCTGCCCCTGCCCCACTCATGCTCTCTCAAAAATAAATAAAAATATTTAAAAAATAATAAAACTAAAAAGCATAACTGTGATCACTCCTGTGTTATAAAAGCAGAAACTTAATCAGGAAAATAGAAACGCCTTATTTGATTAACTACCAAGGGATTCTACAAACATTAGACATTCCATATATGCTAACGGAAATAATGAATTTAGTTACATTATTACAAAGCAATAATTGTTTCATTTTCTAAGAAGATCAGTTATACATGAATAAAGGGTTTAGATGTTCTCCCTTAAGGAAAACCACCTAATTGAGATATAGAGTTAAAATAGCTTCAGCTTAAAAATTTTTTTTTTTTTAGTGTTGCTTAATTAGGCAGTATACATACACCTCTTAAAAACCTGGACTTTTGGGGCACCTGGGTGGCGCAGTCGGTTGAGCGTCAGACTTCAACCAGGTCACGATCTCGCGGTCCGTGAGTTCGAGCCCCGCATCGGGCTCTGGGCTGATGGCTCGGAGCCTGGAGCCTGTTTCCGATTCTATGTCTCCCTCTCTCTCTGCCCCTCCCCCGTTCATGCTCTGTCTCTCTCTGTCCCAAAAATAAATAAACGTTGAAAAAAAAAAAACAAAAAAACCTGGACTTTTAACCTTTATTTCAGTAGTCTGTAGTCATACCAGGAATAAATTTAGGATTAGAGAGTTAGTTTCATTCTGGAATTAGGTACTTCCCATAGGGAAAGAATTTAACCCATAGAACCTCTGTTAAGTATATATCATGTGATTCTCAAGTAAGAAAAAAAAAAAACACTTTCAAAACCTTTTATGTACAGTATTCTTTACTACTACTCTTAGGAATTGTAAGGATTATAATGAATTTTTATTTTTTTTTAATGTTTTATTTATTTTTGAGAGCATGTGACTGGGGAAGGGGACAGAGGATTTGAAGCAGGTTCTCTGGTGACAGCAGAGAGAGCCTGATGCAGGGCTTAAACCCACAAACCGTGAGATCATGACCTGAGCCAAGGTCGAATGCTCAACCAGCTGAGCCTCCCAGGTGCCCCAGAATTTTAATGAATTTTTAAATTATTAAAAATTTTTAATGTCAAATTTATTGAATTCCCAATACTGGTGGGAGGAAAATTTGCACAATTAGACAATCATCAGAATATTTTCCACAAGCAAAATATGCTCAGGATATTGTTTAAACACCTTCAAAGTCAGTATCTATGATTAAGTAAAAGTAATATTTGTGAGTTTTTACTTTGTATTAGGGACTCGAACATTTTATATGGACTCTTTTTTAATTCTCATACCTTTAAGGAGGTTATAATTTTCCCCTGTTACCTAGGTAGAGAGATTAAGGCCTAAAGAGTTTACCTAAGAAATTTTTCTAGCATGGAACCAAGCTTGAAACCTAAGCAGTGTGACTAGATCCTACTCTGTGATGGTTCTAGGAACTGGCCCATAAATTAGAAAGCTATTTGAAAATACCCAAGGGATATTACAGTATTAGCTAAAATTATATTGACTTTTTCTACTTTTTCATTTTGAATCTTTACCTTCTTTATGTTTATGCTTCTCAAATTCATTTTATTCTTTGATCTTAAAACTTAAAATTATGCTTTACTATCAAAATTATACTGTGAGTTCATCCTCAGATTTCCTTCCCAAAGAATAACTGCGTTCACCTAAGATTAGCCTTGGTGATACTAATTATTTAGGGTTCTTGGTGTTGTATACTCCTAAAACAAATAACCCTCGCCAACAACAACAAAGAAAAAATTCCATTTTATTTCTGGAAAAATAAAATTAACTGTTTTAGTTAGTATTTCATAACAAGTATTTTATAACAAGTATATCAATGGTTGTAAAACAGATTTTTTTTCCCCTAGACCTATTCAAAATTCATTTCTCTTTTTCTTATAAATTTTATTTCCAGGTTTTTTTTTAGGCCTATAGAAATTTAATGTTACTTAGTATCTTTTGGATGGAAATTCTCTGTTAAATTAAACTTTGGTCTAGTATAATAAGTTGCAGGTTTTTCTTTACTATGTGAACCATAAATAGAGATCATGTTTAATGATAGCTCTAAGTTGTTCAACTTTCTATAAAAGATGTATACTTGTTGGAGGAGGAAAACTTTCCTTAATACTTACTTTCTTAAAACTTTACCTAATATTTTTTAAGCATAAAATTAAAGCTTGTTTGCTTTTAGATTATTATAGGTAATAGTGGATGATATGAAGTTGAGATTTCATAATATGAACTGTACACCTTTTCTTTGCTTTGCTTTGCTTTGCTTTGCTTTGCTTTGCTTTGCTTTGCTTTGCTTTGCTTTGCTTT